ATTTATTCTGGCTGGCAACCCATTACTAGTACTAGTCTCAAGAATGTTTTACTATGACTTATCACATTCACCACAAAGATATATATCGTCGCAGTTTTGTCACAATTGGGAAAATGAAGAAAATGCAGTCAGTCCAATCACATATATTAACAATCATATATATTAATGTTGACTTTAGAATAGAAATTTCGAAATTATCGATGATGAGCAGATAATTGCTGCAGTACAAAAAGCGCCAGAAGAAGAAAAAAAAAGAAGAAACTATGAGTATTCCAATATCATATATATATACATATTACCAAAAATAATTTCGATTCACCAATTTTTAATATAATTGGGGTTAACTAATGCCGATCAATAATATATATAACCTCTATATAAACAAAAATTGTGCCAGAGCCTCCAAATAAGGAAAGGAAATAATAGTAGATAGGTCAAGTTTTTAGATTACAGAGAGTTTTTTTTTTCTTGCTAAATAAAAAAAAATTTTTTTATAACCAAATGGGTTAGAATGAAAAGTTCTCCGTAACTTTACTTGAGCAATAAAACTATAAAAGGTTTTGTTTGGGAAAAAAAAAATTATCACGGTTTAAAGTTATTCGATTTATTATAGATTTTACCATAAAACTTCTTTTTTTGTCAAAAAGTCACCTGATTGAGTCAAGTGAACAACTGGTACTACAAATTAGGTAACTACCCATGATTAAATTTTTGCTTTTTTGTTTTTTTTTGTATTTAATTACACGAATTTTATTGTAAAATAGTGGTAAATTTTAATTATTATGCAAGATTCACATTGTATGTAACCCATAGAACGAATTGCATCATTTAGTTGCATCTCTTTTACGTAATTTGTGAGCATATTTTGCAATGTATGAAAATAAGTGGTTCATTGTATCAATTATTACTGGCTTTTTTTTATTTGGTACAAGGAAATCGGAAGATCTATGGTGGCGGATAATGAATGGTTTTGATAAATTTGGACGACGATGTAAATGGTTTAATAAAAATATAAAACGGGGAAACGAAATAATCAAAAATAACATTTATTAAATACATAAATAGTTGTACAATATAATAGAATGAGTTGTTATGTTATTAATATCTAATCTGTGCATATCTGGAATTGAATCCCATAACATCACGTAGTGCATTGAATTGAGTTAAATTAAGTGATTGGATCGGAGTATTAACCCACCATTCGACACCTTCAGAACACGGAGGAGTGGTTAAACTTCCTGAATATCTATAGGCCTTTAAAGAATAGAAAGAAAAAGAAAAAGTCAGATAGAATATGCATAATAAATACTTTTTTTTTTTTTTTTTTTTTGGCAGATTAGTTAAACTTACTTTAGAAATAAATTCAATATCGTAAAACACGCGTGGCAAATCAAGTTCTTTTATTTTCTTTACTTCTTTAACAACAGTTGGAATCTATTTTAAATAAATTAGAAATTTATTATCATTGTTTGTGATGCAATGCAAGTAATAATTTTTTGTTGTATAATAAATTAAACTTACATTTGAAACTATCGGAATTAAGAATTGGTTCTCTGATCCAATATTATACAAAACTGACACAACAGACAAACTTGCATTCGGGGTTCTATCAGTTTTAAAAACGAAATGGGCCTCCATATCAAAATATTTGCCATCGACTAGATTTTCTGATGGAGTATGGAAATGGAATTGATGCAATTCGTATGATTTTCCGTCCAATTTAAACGATGCAGGTAATTCGTTTTCACCATTCAAAATCTCGATCGTGTGACCGTCGTATTCAATATCAACATCATAAGCTTTCGCGACTTTAATGTCTTCGGGTGGATTAGCGTGACGTTTGAACTCGTCAGGACTAATATTAATTGGAGATTGCTTTTTGCCCGTAAGACAAATTTCCGATGAATTTTTCAGCTTGTACCAATATGCTGCAGCATTTGCTCCACTGTAACTGAAATCAATATCTCCAGCCATCACAAAATTAATGCTTATCATTATATTTAACAAGAAAGAAATCAAAAAAATGTAATTATAATTATTATTTGATTGAAACATCATCTTTAGCAAATATTTTTTATTTTGAAGAAAAACACGATAATATGATATATTTATAGAGATTTATTTTATCTTGATTAGAAATTATTATTTTGATGACTAATTGATCTAACCGATTTCTATAAGAAAAGTTTTTATTTAAAGACGACGAACGAATTTAACTGTTGTATTTAACTATTTTTCAAGTCTTTTGAGCAAAATTTTCGTACACTGCCTCAACCGATCGCTTATACATTATTTGGTAAATTAAGATTTTTTCTCTATGTTTTAGTTATTACCCAGCATTTTTTCTCTTAAAATTTTTGTAAAACGTACAATTATAGTAATTACGGGAAAGATTTATTAAATAACGGGATTTTGTAAAAATGACGTGTGGCTGGCTTAGCCCATCAAACAAATTATTTATAGAATAAAATATAAATTCCCAAAGGAAATATTATATGACTCCAGTTCATCTTTACCTGTTTTATTTCCCTGAAGGCGAGAGAACACAGAGCCGTAATAAATAGTTTTGTTCGTCATTCTTGTTTACCGCGACACTTATAAACATTAGTTAAGTGTTTGTTAAGATTTGCAAGTTTTATCAAAATATTGACCTTTATTAACTAAAACTGTAAGTCAAGTCTTGGGGTTTTTTTTACCAATGTAACCTTTTAAAAACAAAGAATATTAATATATATGCACATTTGAAAAGAATTATCCTTTTTTTTTCAATTCCCCAAAGATGTTCGGCCTATTTAAAAACATAACACTAGGAAATATATATATTAAAATATTCTCTTTGAGACTAATTCTCAAGACGTGTCATTTAATGCCAGGAATAGATTATAAGCTAATGTTTTTACTTTATTAACATTTGTAAGGTCTTTCAAAGAATTTATTTGTTAAAAAAAAAAAAATTTTTTTTTTAAAGAAAATAAGAAAAAAAATAAAAATAAAAATTTTTTTTTAATTTTTAAGTTGTTTAAGTTGTAAAGTTTTTAATAATTCAATTGTTTGCGGGAAAACAGAAGCTTTAGACTCGGCAAAAGTTATCAATTTATTATCAATTTTTATCCCCGATTCAATCAACAAATTAATCAATGGTTCATTGTTATATTTTATAGCAATTTGTAAAGATATAATAGTTGGGTCAGCCTTATATTTTAACAATAATTTTACCATGTCTAGATTATTTATCTGACAAGATTTTGTTAACGGATAACTGTTTGGATCATTTGGCGACGCACCACGTTTTAATAATATTTCTACCAATTCAAGGATTTCAGAATCTGAAAGTTTTTTCGGCGATATTTTTGATAATGGCTTTGATGACGGTGATGATTTTGATGGCGATGATGATGATGATGATGACGGTGGCGGCGAATAAGATGAAAAGAACCAACGTGGTAGTAATCGATCTTTCATTGGTATGTGGGTTTCTATTTTTTCATTCGTTCTCGCTATTTGTTTCGACCTGTTGTCGATGACGATGGTATTGGAGATGTTGTTTGAGGTGCTAACATTGGAAGTATTAATGTTTGAGCTGTTAATTATGGTATTAATTATGTCTGTGTTGGTGATTTCAGTACTACTAAATATGTTATCTATGCTATTACTATGTATGATGTTATTTCCGCTGATATTATTTTTACTACTATCAATAATATTTATATTACTATTTATATCACCACCAATGCTGCCTATTATATCATTATATTTTTTTTCTGATTCTTGTAATATCAGAGAATTTATATTATCGTCTATCGCTTTTACAATCTCACCCTCCTCCTCCTCCTCCTCCTCCTCCTCCTCCTCCTCCTCCTCATCATCCTCATCCTCATCTTCGTCATCCTCATCATCCTCATCTTCGTCATCCTCATCATCCTCATCTTCGTCATCCTCTTCACCGTCGTCCTCATCATCATCTCTATCATTATTATCATTATCAACTTCCTCCGTCTCCTCATCCTCATCATCTTCTATTCGCTCTTCCTCTTCTTCCACCTCAACACCCTTCTCTATTAATTTTGATTGTGACTGCGAATACATTTGATCTAATTGGTTCAAAATATGCTTATTAAAAAATTTCCACCTTAATCCTCGATATAACGATTTCTTATAATCAAAATCAAATTTATATAATAACCATTTAGTTTTTATTATATTTGTTTGTGGTGAATGTGATAAGTCATAGTAAAACATTCTTGAGACTAGTACTAGTAATGGGTTGCCAGCCAGAATAAATATTTCTTGTAATATTTCGGGTGGTAAGTGTTCCAGGTAATTTTTTTTATTAGAATTTTGTTCAGACATTTTTTTTTTTTTTTTAAAGAAAAAAATATTTATTTACAAAATAAAAAAAAAAAATTATTAAACAGGATGAAAGGTCCCATTATTTATTTATAATTTCAAGTCATTTCCCATTATTGTCCTTTCATTTATTTAATTTTTTTAATAAAAAAACCTTTTTCATTTGTTTTGGCTTAAAATAGTAAGCTAAAGAAAGAGGTATATATCCTCAGCCGGAGTTCACCGAAACTATTGCCATAAAATAGCAATTATGATAAGGATTGAATCATTACGGGGGGTGATTATTATTGCTACACCAAAAGTATTAGGCTAATTAAATCTAATAAGATACATACATAATGTTGATCAATATAATCCTATTCCACTTGATTATTAAAAAAAATATTTATAAAGATTTTAGTTGCATGCTTTTTTGGTTTATAATGCTGATCATAAGGATGTCGTTGTCATAACATTATTATGTGACAGTGTGATTTCTGCGATTTTATTATACAAAAATCCGCATAAAGACATTAAAATAGACTTGTTGATCTCATGTCATCCCCAAACTCCTACCTAGACGGCCTACAATGTGTCCCGGGTGTAAGCCCCGACGTTATGGCGATTCTTGTTCGGTAACACACTTTAAACATTGGTGGAATTCTAAAGGTATTTGAGGATCCAGATGCATTCACAACGTCCATACGTTTTACTAGTATATTTCTCAGTTTAGGCACAAATAATACACGCGGGAGCTACAAGTAAATGGCTTTTAAATCAATGTAATCAAGTCAACATTCAACTTTCATTTCAGATTAGTTTTTTCTACAAACGTTAAATGACATTACTATTTTTCTTATAGATTCATGCATCGACGGGACTCACGTCATGAGTAAAATCCATTTCACTATCATGGTGCAAGCTTAAGCGATGTATTCTCTTTCCCTACTTTATAACCTCACTCACCACTTGGGTTATGAAGGTTTTCATTACCGCTGAATCAAAGAGAAATGATGCCAGCACCTCTTCTCCCTTTAATTTAATTTCAAATGGTATAGGAATACACAAGTAGAATTCACCAAGATGATTCATAACGAGGTGACGACCATAATTTAATTCAGATATTTTTTTAACACCTTTGAGGAATGAACAGCCACCTCTTATTCTGTTGATCCAATGACAATTCATTGTAATTTGTCTTCATTCAAGAACCCAAGGTTTCTTTAGCGATAGAACCTTCGCGTAAATATATATATATTTTTATATCAACGTTGACTGCTGCCAAACATTGGTCGTATGTCCAGTCAGCGAGCAGCACCAATCTATTTTAATATGGCTCTGAATTGGGGTAAAGCGTGATTTTAAGAACTTTCACAGGTGGAAGAAGATGAAAAGGTTACATGTTTTTTTTTTACAACTCTTTCATATAAATCATAAAGGTGTTTTTGGTTTAGTTGGTTGAACCAACTGTAACTTATGTCCTAAAAGCTAGTCTTTTTGAGCATCAATGATTTACCATGCCAGTTTGCGAGAATGAATTCATCACATAATGTCTTACATTCGAGGAATTTCCTGCATATAATAATTGTTGTTTCAATTAATTGATTATTTTTAAGGGAGTGTGATATTTATCCGTTTAATGAGAAGGCTCCTTGCTTTTACTAAATGAGGTTAAAATTAGATTTATGCACACGGGGTTTATTATTTCTTTTTTTTTTGGGATGTACATCCCCAAAAATCGCTAATTAAATTTCAATATTTTATATATTATTTATTTTTATAGAATAACAATGATTTTTATTGTGTATTAAAAAAATGTTTTGATCATATTTGTAAAAAAAAAAAAAATAAAATATACATATATATATATATAATGAATAATGAATCTAACATATAAAGTAAATGTGACTCTGTGATGCAAATGAGCGAGTTAATTTGTTGGAGAATGTTGAATCGAATTGCTTACAAATCATTCTTGACAGAGACGCAAAAAAAAAAAATATTACCATTTATAATCTTTTCATTCTCATTACTATTTTTATCCAACACCAGCACCACTGCTATATCCTGAAGTAGCTTTACGATACTTTGCAATAAATTCATCGGGCAATCTACCACCATTTTTTGCTTTCAACTCTGCCAATGCTGCAATGCGTCTTCTCAATTTCTCGTATTTCTTTTTATTCTCTTCTTCTTGTATTCTTGACGTTGTTGCGGTTGCTTCATCTTCTTCGTCGTCGTTATAATCATTGTTGTCGTTATATTCAACGCCATTATTATTATTATTATTATTATTTGCTCCATAATAATCACTATTATTTCCATCATAGTAATTATTATAGTCGTAATTACTATTTGTATCATAATTACTGTTTCCATCATCATAATAACTATTTCCATCATTGTTATGTTCTTCTTCATCATAATAAGCATTATTATAATTGTTATTATTAAAATTGTTATTATTAAAATCACTTTCATAAATATAATTGTTGTAATTATTATTATGAGTATAATACATGTTGTCGTTAGCATTGTTATTATTAATATCTTCATAAACATTGCCGTTATTCATATCGTTTTCATCAACAATCATCTTATTGCTATTATTGTTATCGGTTGGAGGTGGTGATGATGATGAATTTAAAAAAGTAACAATGACTTCAGAAAGCCAGCCTGAAGCGCCTCCAACGAAACATCCAATTACTGCTGCCGTCAAACAAAACAAATATAACGGAAAAAAAGTTGAAATGACCCATTTTACGACTGTGTACGGTTTATAAATAAAGGTGTTGTAGAATGTTTTGAAAACGTAGACTGCTGGATACAAACAAATGCTGGTTATTTGATAAGAATATGACGCGATTGACCATAATAATTGAAATGCTAGAACAAAAGGTTTAACCAATATCTCAACATTGTTTAACACCTCTTGCCCTTGTTTTTGATCGTGATGACTTTTTTCTTCCTCGAGTGTTCCATTGTTGTTGATGTTGGGAATGTTGTTGGTTTTTGGATTGTTTAAAAGAGCGTTACAAGAGGCTTGTTCATTTTCTTTGGTGTCTGGGGAGGATGTGCAAGGACTACCAAAGAAAACAATCAATATTAAAGGAATGCAAATCAATAAGAGTACATATTGATTTTTTTTGTACATTACAAACTAATAATCTAATGATCAATAATGAATGACAGCTATGGTGATATTTGATAATATTGTTAATATTTATCATGCATGTATATGTTCAAAAGTATCTTCTTTACCCAAAATTTGTTTAACTTCTATTTTTTTTTTGTTTTTTGAAAAAAATTTTTAATTAAAAAAGGGAAAAATTTAAATGTTAAATAAACTTCACATGCTAAATGCAAGTAAAATAAGTCGATTATTGATAATTATTGATATGTGTGTTGTTACACGAAAATTCTTGACTTTTTTCAAATGATAAAAGTTTTGCGCACCTGTTACTTATGAAAATCACATGACCAAACCAAACTCATGAGTTCCCTCTTAACAAAGAAATCAATCAAAAATAATTTTTAGCGATCGATTTATCACAAACAATTAAAAATGTTTTTAGATAAGGATCGACTGCTGCAAGGCAATGTTGTTCATTAACATGCAACGGTTCTCATATTTTTTTTTTAATTTTTTTTTATTTGGATGAACCTATATTAATATGCACTATTACTAATTACTTATCAACTTGTTATATATAGAATCACATGACACGTCGAATTTAATACAGCGAATTATTAACAAAGAAAACACTTGAAAGAACTTTATTCCATTCTTGCAAGAGATGGATAAAAATAATAATAAATAGAACAATAAATAAAATTGATATCTTATCTTTATTTTATTTTGGATCTTTTTTAAGAGTTTTTGATTCATTATATTCCTTTTTTTGGAGGAATCAAAGGATCTGTAACGCTAATAAAAGTTTTACAAAGTATTATTTATTTTAACCCAAACCAGAATGTTCGAGTCACTTGTTAATTCCATAACAATAATAAATAATTACATTTGGATTGCAATTCCATGATTTTGATATGTCACGCTATCATTCCGAAATTGACAGTTTTATGATTTAATCAAACAACAAAATTTTATCACGCAAAATTTCAAATTCAAAATAACCCTCCCAACCTACACACACATACATACACACATACATAATTAAATTATTTTTTTCTTTAAAAATATAAAACTATAGATGAAATAATAAACAAAACAATAGACATATAATTATTATAATAATAATTGTTATTTTTGAGATTATTTAATAGTGAATTACTGCCGCTTGTTGAATCTTCAGGAGTGGAAGATGGTGATGGTACCGTGGTAACAACTTTTTCGACTACGACTTTAGTACTCGGTGGAATATATGTTTTAACTTGTATTACATTTCCGTTTGAATCGGTCGTTGAAGTCGTTGAAGTTGATTCTTGTATGACTTGTGTGCTTGTGCTATATATTGTTGTTAATTGTGGCTTGTTGTTGTTGTTGTTGTTTGCTGGTATTATTGGTGGCGATGGTGTACTATCTACAGTAGTTGTAGTTGTTGGCTGTTGTTGATTTTGGGAGGTCGTCGGAATAACAGGTGTATTTGGTGGTGTGTTAGGTGATGGTGATACTGGAGTAGTGGCTGGCGGATTGACAGCTGTATTTGTTGGCTGTGGCTGTGGTTGCGGTTGATTTGATGTGGCAGGTGATGGTATTTGTGGTTGATCTGGTGCGGTAGGTGATGGTGTTTGTGGTTGATCTGGCGCGGTAGGTGATTGTTGTGGTGGTTGACCTGACGTAGTAGGTGATGGTGTTTGTGGTTGACCTGGTGTGGTAGGTGATGGTGTTTGTGGTTGATTTGGTGTGGTAGTTGATGGTGTTTGTGGTTGATTTGGTGTGGTAGTTGATGGTGGTGGCTGTGGCTGTGGCGGTAGTGGCGACGCACTATCTGGTGAGTTTTTACTTTGTCCTGGAGGATCAGTTGCTGGTGGACTTTGATTAACGTCAGCAGATTTGGTGCTAGGAAATAGAGAAAATAAATAATAAGGAATAAATCAAATAATTACATCAGGAAAATAAATCTTACATAAACCTACGTAGGGTTCAGAATTGGCCAGCATTATGTCGATATTTTGGTAATTCTGTTAACATTTCCACATAATGCTGGTCAGTTTTAAACCCTGCGTAGGTTTACATGAGATTTATTTTCCTTATGTACATCTACGTGATAAATATGTGTGAGTGAGTGTGCATTAATTACTTTTACTTACGTTTGTTTTGGTTTATCGATAGTAGTAGATGGAGATGGAGACGGAGGTAGAGCACTACTTTTTGGATTTTCAATATTATTCTGTCTACGATAAAAATTTATATATTTATTATTGTTATCGGTTGTCGGCACCGATAAAACATAATTTATGAAAAATAACAATATTAACAAAGATGATTTTGTTATTATATTTTTCATTTTTTTTTTTTTTTTCTTTTAAAAGTTTAATATTTGAAATCAATAATTTTTTTATTAAAAAAAATATTGTTATATTTATAGAATATTTTCTTCGCATAATTTTAAGCTCTGAGATGACATAATGTTTGATATTATTTTTAGAAACGGAAGTTTTTTTTTTATTCGTTTCGGATTAGTTCCATTTTTGGTTAATATTAATAAATATCTTTGCATTTATTTTTCTTTTTGAGACTAGAATTCTCTTGGTATATTTCTTATATGCCGCAACAAAACCAGACAAAGTGAACATGGGTATTACTAAGACTTTAGGCATCAAATTTAGTTATTATCATCACAATTAGTTTTTATAATGTCTCACTTTGTCTGGTTTTATTGCAGTATGCCCCATATTTCTTCTCATTTTCATTGGTCTGATGTCAATCAATTAACGCTATATAGGTGAGAAACGAAATAGTAATGATTATTATTATTGGCTTAATAATATCCAATTTCATAATAACATTTCGAGATATTGTTTCAAAAACCATAAAAACCATAGCAAGCTACTTGAAATGTAGTTTTTTTTATTTATTCTATTTTTAGAGCATGGTCTGTTTCTATATTTGCATACTTCAACCAAAACAAAATATTCAGTAATTACAGGCGGCATGTTTCTTCTTGTTTCATATCATTTTTTAATTACTCCATATAATATTGGTAATCAAGCCAAATATACAAATTCATGTTAAGCTTAAAATCTTATTTTCGTTTTGAGCTTGACCGAATTATTTGGCTTAATTCAATTTGTTTTTTCTTCAGCTTTATATTTAGTCTGGCTAACATTTGGTCCTTTTCTTTTTCTTAAACGTTAACAATTTCTTCTTTTTTAGTTATTGTTTTCTAATTCTTTGTTTCGTAACTCTTGAACAACCTTTTCACTTTTGGGGTTGTTTTTTTTTTTTTTTAGGAATGTTAATTGATTTTTCACGTTTTCTATTTGCTCCTTGGCTTTTTGTTGATTTTCATAATCATTCTCCAAATCTTCTTTTTCAGACTTTTATTGGGTATTGTCATCATCTGTAACTGGCTTATTCCTTTGTTTCTTTCCTTTAATTGCTTAGTATTAGCAAAGTTCTCATGTGACAGTTATTAATTATTTATTTAAAAATTTAAATTTGATCTATGACATAAAGAACTCACATATTAACAATTTATTGACAAGCATATTCAAGCAGGTAGAACTTGATGATTCTAAAAGTCATGTTTTTACCTTGTAAGCTCAATCTATTAAAATTCAAAAAAATTTAAAGACATATTAATAATAATACATATTATGTTAAAATCAACTTGTGAATTTACAAATAATAATTTATTAATCAGAGATCTTGTGATTCTAATTATTAGTTAGTCAAATTTGCTTCTAATAATAATAATAATAATAATAATAATAATAATAATAATAATAATAATAATAATAATAATAATAATAATAATAATAATGATTATTGCCGAATCCGAAGCGCCGAAATAGTTTTTTCATAATGGTCAAAATTAATCTTATTAGTTGCCGAAATTATAACCAAAATTTTATTAGAATGGCCAAAATGATAGGTGGTTTATTAAGAATATTATAAATTGGAAATTGCTTGTTGAAAATTGAAAATAATGGTAAAATGATCCTTTCAAATTTGGCTGAGCAATAGTAATAAAAAGAATCTGCATTTGTGAATCTGAAACATATTAATAGTAAAAAAAAAAAATTTTTTTTAACAAAACCTCTTTTTTTTTTTTTGTGACTAATAAAGTGTCTTTTAACTATTTTAAAATTGCAAATCAGGTAATATTATTCCAAATAATGAATTGTAATTATTTAAAATTGTATAACTCTAAAATAACTGTTTAGTCATCCAGAGCATCATCGTCATCATTTTTCCTTCGTTATCATTTTTTCTTTGAAATACCTAGTAAAAGTTTTGGATATCAATGCCAGAGAATGGTTCAAGCTCAATTATTGAAAATAAGATAATTATTTTAATTATTATTGTTGTTATATGCAGTGACATAAATTCAAACATTTAAATAAATACATGACACAAACTTTCCAGATTCAAATCTAATTTTAATTTGTTAGGAAAAAATCAAAGATTCGAACATTAAATTTTTAAATGAATATAATCATTAGTATTAGTTGAGAGTGACGCTTCCAATTGTCTGGGCACAATGGAAGAGGCCTCTATCCATATATAAGAGAAATTCTCAACTCATTTAGAAAGATCAGCTTTTGTAGATCGTAAGGTGAAGAAACAATATATGACAAAGGTTATTGATCAGGCCTCGTGTTCAGTTTGTCTTTCATCAAACTATTTGTCCTTTAATCTTTATACAAAAATGTATTTTTTAATTACACGTATGTCTCACATTTTGGAAAAAATTTTATTGAAAATTTGGCAACGTGACGCAGAAAGTGAGGAAGTAGTTAGTTAGTAGCCACCGAACAAAATCTCAGAGCTAATACTGTATAATGAATGAACGCGACTTGAAAATTATTATTATATATTGATTAATTTAACGCGGCCACACCTTCCTCCCTTTGTAGGTAAGACTTTTGGGATATTACAATCTAACAGTTATGTATACCGTAATGCACCTTTACCACCAAAAGACCAATGTGTTGATGGCAGTGTCGTGACCCGAAACTCTGAGTTTAGGGAAAACCAGAAACAGAAACTAACAGAAACCACCCGAAACTAGTTTAGGTTAGTATTTTATGTTTAGGTTTAGTTTCTGCTTAGTGTAAGTTCATTTTCCGAAACGTTTCGGGAAGCCAAAAGAGTTTCTGGTCACAACACTGGTTGATGGTAATTCATTTTTGGCACTCGCTTCTATTTCAACCTTACGAATTAAATCAAGCTCGTTTTGGGTATCTGATCTATTATTAATTATTATTTGTAATAATGATAAATAATATTATATATATATATATATATGTGTGTATAAAAAATCAACTGTTAATATTGTTCATACGTAAATTGATCGATTTCTACTACAACAGGTAATCCAAATTAGCTAGAAATAATATACAATATTAAATAAATAACATTGAATATTTATAATAATAATATAGTTATTAATTATTAGCAGCAGTTACAGCATGTACACTAGCTGGACAAAAGTATTTGATCACGTATTTACACTAATTAATAAAAAACCTACATAACAACATTACACGAAATTTATAACATTATGCACCTAGGTTTTGATAATTATATATTCAAAATTTCATGTTGCTAGCTTCCAAATATCAAGATTAATAAAAAAAACTAAAACCCAAATAAAAAATTTAAACATTTTGCTATATTTTCACATTTTTTAAAAAATTTACTTAATAAAAAATTGTAAATTTTATATAAATGAGGGATATTGTTTTGAAGAATAAATATATGAAATTTCATATTTCTATCGTGTCTAGAAAATTAATGATTAAAAAAAAATAGTGATAACATCTGAATCGCAGTCAACGAAAAATTAATAAATTTCAATCATGAAAAAAAACCATTTTTATTAAATTTGATACATGCATGAATATGAGAGCTAGCAACGTGAAATTTCGAATATATATTATCAAAATCTAGGCACATAATGTTATAAATTTCGTGTAATGTTGTTATGTAGGGTTTTTACTAATTAGTGTAAATACGTGATCAAATACTTTTGTCCAGCTAGTGTATGTCACCAGTTAAATGTAAATTAAATTCATAACTTGTGAATTCCTTTTTGTAGCAAATGTCGGCCCTTGTGATGATTGCCTCACACAAACAAAACTTATTTTGCCTAGGTGTAGAGTTTAAGCTATACCAATTGTGGTTGTTGATTTTACTGAGAGATGTAGGCGTTATACTTTATACAGTAAGTATATGTAAATTAATTATTATTAATGTTTACATCATGATAATAATTATTAATTATTAATTAACTTTACCCAGCTTTTAATATATTTTATATTTATGTTATATTATTATTATGAGAAATAATTAAGCAAGCCTCATTTTTGGTTAAGCCTAATTCTTGAGCCAAAATAGCAATTCGTTTTGGAAATTGACTAAACGTAATATCAACATCACATGTAATATTTTCAATTGTCACTGTCGGTTTTATTATCAGCTGGTCACAGACTTTGCAAAACGAGTTATACAAGATTCTTTGGTCGCATAATCGATGGTATTCAATTATGTAGATGAAATTTTCATTTACTATTACTCTTTTACCACGGAAATTGTATTTTCAATATTAATATGAAAGGAATAAATATGAATCAGTTATGTTGTATATAGAGGCATGCTCTGCAAGTTCAAAAAATTAGGTTTTATTACAAAAATATCTACTATTAGGTTTTATTATATTTGGTTTCCCTTATATTTGTGATTATATTTGTTTGGTCCCTTTGCCATAACTTTTCCTAAATCATATTGTTGGTCGTCTACATATGCAACAATGATAGTTCAACGTTGGAAATTGTAGCGATCCAGTTAAAATGGTCACCAGTTTTTTGATTTAGTTCCATGTCCATTGATTTTTGAATTTAGAAGAAGGTAATAATTGGATGCTGTGCTCTGGAGTTGTTTCTGGTTGATTGTCTTCTTTTTGTCATTACTTATATCATTAACAATTTCTTCAATATGATGTTCTTAAAATCATAATTAATTTCCAAGTTTGGTTTGGAAGTTCGTAAATTAAGGAACGCAAATTGAGATGATCATGTTGCTGTTTAGCAATTTTATTTACCATACTAAAATATATCTGTAAAAATATAAATCGTTCTGAATTGAGTATAAAATCATCACTAGACGCCTTAAATTTTTTTACTGGTTAATTTATCATTCATGCCTTCTCGAATACTTGGTGGACCATTTCAATTTGATACGTTTATTTATTTCTTTGAAACTTGATTTTTCAATACATGAAATGCAAACAACTGATAACTTAGTAGATCATCTTAAAAAATAGTTTCCACTTGCCTGGTTGAGATTTCTTACACGGGACCAAGAAACGCCGACAAGATATTTTTGTTATTCTCTTTCGAGCTTCTTATAGCAGGTTTTAACGTTGTATTTATGTTTTGATGTTCGTAAAAAGTTTTTTTATAAGCATAGATGTTATACCGATGGCGTGGTAGAAAGTCCCACATTGTCGTCTATTTATTCCACTAGAACAGACATGCTTGTTTTAGATATATCAACCATTATTGTAGAACCAATTTGTGATGAATTTATTTATTGTATGAATAGCTAGCTCGTCCTTTAATGTTGTTACCATTTTCTATTTTTGGGTTAATTAACTATATGGTAAATATGCAGCTTGAAATTTTTTTTTACAACTATTAAATATAGAGGTTACGAAGAAATTCAACATTTGTTATCAAAAGATGGATATGAAAAAACAATCGGTAAAAAAATTATCCTGATATAACAATAATAATAATAGTATCAATAGTATTTAATCTATGTGTAACATAACATTTGTTACACTTGTAAATTAATATTGCAGCGAGCCCGCAATATTGCTTTGGAAATCTTTATTCAGACAATGAATGAATCATTGATAATTAATGCAGGAATTACTCTATCTGATGTTCATTGTAAATATTCGTTATTGATATTCGATAGGATGCGT